TAAAATTTTCAAATGTCGTGATCTCTAGTATTATGCAAGGGTTTGGAGAGCAGTTAACTTTCCCAAGAAATCCTTCTGGTTTCTACATTTACGGTAACTCTTTTGGTTACCAATAGTCAACGAAACATCCCCAAGACCAATCAAGAATCTGATAGCTTAGGTCATATGGCAATTTTCAGAATCTCTAATGTTTTAAAAACAATGTAGGGCAATGCAATTAATACTTTCTTGTAACAATTTTCTGCTTTTAACAGGGTTTCCAACTGTCGAGTTAAGTATTTTCGAATTTTTAATATTATAGTAAGAGGGAGATAACTCCAAATATTACTAGTACAATTGGCTTTTAGGACAATATTAATTTTATACAGATTTTACAAGTCAAGAAAGTTGCTTTAAGCTATCACGATAATCTTTAGAGACAAAGGTGTGCTGAAAGAATAAACCAACAGTAGATTTTTAAATAGTTTAAGGTGTCTTTGATCACCTCTCAGCTTTGAATTTAAAGTAAAAAAGAGAAATATTCATGGTGTAGGTGGAGCCAAACTACAGAATTACTTGCTGTGGTCTTATAAGTTGTGAAAAGTTAAACCAAATTGTTATTTACCTTTAATAGGGAGCAATATTGAAGTCAGATTAGGTCGTCCCAATAGAATTTTTTAACTATTGGCAGGAATATTTATTTTGCACAGCCTGAATCATACGAGGCTCCTTTTAACCCAAACGACTGAGGCCCTTTTTTCGGATATGTACCACGAATCAACAATACTTTCTAATTTAAAGTAGAGTACTACCTCAATGCTTAACAACAGTTTGTCTGTCATAAGAGATAGTTTAATTTTCCAGTACCTAGTCAATCTACTCTATCTGCATTACCATTAAACACAATAACACTTGCAAGTAATTGCATTTACATTTATTTGGAATCCATATAATATCCTGGCAAACAAATCATTGATTGTAAAATTCACATCCCTTTACTGGTGAATAATGACTAGAGACATCAGAGAAAATAGGATGTTTAATAAAACATACAGACAAATAGACATTTCCTTATTATCATTATCATTAAAACATATCAAACCATTGTTAGCAATGTAGAATCATACAAAAGGATGTCGAAATGACATGCCTAGACCCAAGGTCATGTCTTTTATAGGAGAACTCATCATAAAACTTATTACAATGGAATTGGAATTCATTTCAAAATTGTCTTTTAAATCAAAACCTTAAAACCATTGATATCGTGCTGGGCGATATTGGTTAAAGTTGATATCACGATATTATTATTAAGCATTGATATATCACGATATGGGTATATATCGCGATATTTGTTAAGTATGTTTTACTCTACCATATATCACGATATTGCGGTATTTCTGTATTTTTTAAGCAGGCGATAGTATTAACAATATAAAATCCTATGCCGGTGTTTATCGTGATACCGGTATATCGCCCAGCCCTACATTGGTCAGTATGATGATAAGTGTCATTGAACGTTCCGGGTTAATGTGACCTAATGTACAGTTTTATGATTATCTGAGTTGGTAAACCGCTAAATTTCGTGTAACGTAAAACGTAATATATAAACTCAGAAAAAAATCAAGCAAAATTCATTTTTATCGTTTGAAATTGGCTGATGTAACCATGAATATCACATATAGTGAGGACCATTTATTTGGTTAAGTAGTTTATGAACATGGGATGCATAATAAATTTCGTCAGATCATAGCTGGTATATGGAGTCAACAGCAGAAAAAACTCAAAAGGAAAAGCATCCAGATTTGCAATTAATTCATATTGATATATCAGTTCAATGAAATTGGTTAACAACACTACTGTCGCTTAAAAGCTGTAAATAATTTAGTTGTCATTAACAACTTTCAATATAATATCAATTCCAATGGCCATGAAATTAGAACCGAACAGTTTTCAGTAATCTCTAATTGAATATCAACAACATGTTCATTAACTGGTGGACCATTGAGAAAACCTACTGCTCATGATCAAATAGGATAGTGCTAGATACAGATATTAAGGACATCCCTACAGCATGGGGATCCGTATCAGCCAGAACGACGTTCATATAGTAGTGGAACAGTGGTGAAAATGATTGAATATCACCAACTTTAACATTATCTGGTGGAAAACAACCTACTGGTCATGATTATCAAAGATTCGTTTTTAACGATATCGCAACAACATCGGCAACCTTAGTCAGAGCGACGATCCGTTGATCTTGTATTTAGTGGAACAGTGATGAAAATGAATGAATATCACCAACCTACACATTAACTGGTAGAACTGGTGAAAAAACCTACCGGTCATGATTATTACAGATAAGATCCAGATTTCGATTTAACGATATCGTAACAAATTTGGGGGCTGTATGCGACTGTATTTAGTTGAACAATGGTAAAAATAGATTAATATCATCAACCCACACATTTACTAGTGAAATATTGAGAAAATAGGCTTCCAATGATTATAAACGGTGGTGCTAGATCCAGATTTCGATTTAAAGGATATCGTGACAGCATCGACAGTCGTATTAATAAAAGCGACAATCTTGTATTCAGTGGTGAAAATGAATGAATATCACCAACCAACACATAAACTGGTGAAATATTAAAAGAACAAGCTTCTAAAGGATAGTACTAGATTCAGATTTTGATTTTAAGGATATCGTAACAGAATCGCAGTATTCAGACCGACGATCCGTTGATACTGAAGTTACCGGAACCGTGACGAAAATAATGAAGCCAAAAGCATAGGTCAGAGCCAAAATCCCTTGGTATTGTTTTTAGTTGGAAAGTATTAAAGCCAGGTTTCTCAAGTTAAAGAGGAATCCGTTGTTTCTACATTGGTGAAATCAGAGTCACGGGCTGTTGGTTCTGTATAAAGTTTGAAAGTGATAAACCAGGTTACATTGGTCGTAAATGAGGCTTTGACATGGCCAGGTACTTGTTTCGTATTTAAAAGTTCCATAGCCGTTGTAGATTCTTTATGAATCCATAGCGTGTCCATTGTGTGGCTATCTATTATGTGTTAAGTGGAGGGACACTTCCTCAATTAGAAAAGTCATAGAATCCACACAATCAAAATTATTCTACATCTAATTGGTTTCATGTCGACAATAGTCTGGAATTTAAAAATTAATTCCAATTAGAACTTAGTGCTTAATTCACAAAGACTTCTTAGTAACATATAGAAACGTTGTTGTTACTGGGCTACATCTAAATATAATGGTGAATGTGGATTGCTGTTTCTTTTATAAGATAAGAGAACAAAGAAAAACATTGGTAATTTTTAAGGATTAACGTGCCAAAACATTCACTGAAAACTATTCACTGAAGCAGAATATATCTTTCCTATCGCTCTTTACTAATTCGATTTAGTGATGTTTACATGAAGTTGCTGAACACGTCATTGCATTGTCATCGTCGGGTGTTCGAAGGTTTTATTCCAGAACCTCAATGAAATCGTTTAGATTATTTATAGAAGTTTTAATCTCAGATAGTGTATATCACAGATGAACCATTGGAAATTATTCAATGTTGTTATCCTATGATCCGCCATGCCACGGAAATCGTTTGTGTCCCCATATTTTGCCCAGCTAAAATATCCATATACATTAGAAGACAGAAATGAAAAGTTGCAGAAGAAATGGAATACTGTTGAGATTTTATTCAATAATCCCAAACCTGACACAAACTCGGAGTGCTCCATCGATAGTTTCATTAAATACGAAATCGAGAAAGAAAATAAAAAAGAGGAAAGTGTCATGAAAAGACAAGAAAAGAGAAAATATTTGAATTTCGTAAGGAAAAAAGATGAGTCGTCAAAGGTTTTAATGATTATTCCCAAGACTCCTTTAAAGAAACCAAAAACCCATGTTACGTTGGACAAGGCTCGATTACATCGGATGTTAGATGGAGAGATAGATGTAAAACTGCCAGAAAGAGTAAGTATATATTTTATATTTCGCCAGTACTTCGTCAGTAGTTAATATTTGATTGAATATTTCGTCAAGTTAATATTTGATTGAATATTTAGTCAAGTTATATTTGATTGAATATTTCGTCCGTAGTATATATTTGATTAAATATTTGGTCAAGTTAATATTTGATTGAATAATTCGTCAAGTTATATTTGATTGAATATTTCGTCTAGTATACATTTGATTAAATATTTGGTCAAGTTAATATTTGATTGAATAATTCGTCATGTTAATATTTGATTAAATATTTGGTCAAGTTAATATTTGATTGAATATTTCGTCAAGTTAATATTTGATTGAATATTTCGTCTAGTTAATATTTGATTGCATATTTCGTCTAGTTAATATTTGATTGAAAATTTTGTCAGTAGTTACTCTTTGATTGAATATTTCGTCAGAAGATAATATTTGATTGAAAATTTCGTCAGTAGTTACTATTTGATTGCATATTTCGTCTAGTTAATATTTGATTGAAAATTTTGTCAGTAGTTACTCTTTGATTGAATATTTCGTCAGTAGATAATATTTGATTGAAAATTTTGTCAGTAGTTACTATTTGATTGAATATTTCGTCAGTAGATAATATTTGATTGAAAATTTTGTCAGTAGTTACTATTTGATTGAATATTTCGTCAGTAGATAATATTTGATTGAAAATTTTGTCAGTAGTTACTCTTTGATTGGATATTTCTTCAGTAGATAATATTTGATTGGATATTTCGTCAGTAGATAATATTTGATTGAAAATTTCGTCAGTAGTTACTATTTGATTGAATATTTCGTCAGTAGATAATATTTGATTGGATATTTCGTCAGTAGTTACTATTTGATTGAATATTTCGTCAGTAGATAATATTTGATTGAAAATTTTGTCAGTAGTTACTCTTTGATTGGATATTTCTTCAGTAGATAATATTTGATTGGATATTTCGTCAGTAGATAATATTTGATTGAAAATTTCGTCAGTAGTTACTATTTGATTGAATATTTCGTCAGTAGTTACTATTTGATTGGATATTTCATCAGTAGTTACTATTTGATTGAATATTTCATCAGTAGTTACTATTTGATTGGATATTTCGTCAGTAGTTACTATTTGATTGAATATTTCGTCAGTAGATAATATTTGATTGAATATTTCGTCAGTAGTTACTCTTTGATTGAAAATTTCGTCAGTAGTTACTATTTGATTGAATATTTCGTCAGTAGTTACTGTTTGATTGGATATTTCTTCAGTTGATAATATTTGATTGGATATTTCGTCAGTAGTTACTATTTGATTGGATATTTCGTCAGTAGTTACTATTTGATTGAATATTTCTTCAGTCGATAATATTTGATTGGATATTTCGTCAGTAATCACTATTTGATTGAATATTTCTTCAGTTGATAATATCTGATTGGATATTTCATCAGTAGTTAATATTTGATTGAATATTTCGTCAGTAGATTCTATTTGATTGAATATTTCTTCAGTTGATAATATTTGATTGGATATTGGATATTTCGTCAGTAGATAATATTTGATTGGATATTTCGTCAGTAGTTACTATTTGATTGGATATTTCGTCAGTAGTTACTATTTGATTGAATATTTCGTCAGTAGCTAATATTTGATTCAATATTTCGTCAGTTGCTATCTTTGATTCAATATGTCGTCAGTAGTTAATATTTGGTTGAATATTTCGTCAATAGTTACTATTTGATTCAATATTTCGTCAGTAGTTACTATTTGATTGGATATTTCGTCAGTAGTTACTATTTGATTGAATATTTCGTCAGTAGATAATATTTGATTGGATATTTCGTCAGTAGTTACTATTTGATTGAATATTTCGTCAGTAGATAATATTTGATTGGATATTTCGTCAGTAGTTACTATTTGATTGGATATTTCGTCAGTAGTTACTATTTGATTGAATATTTCTTCAGTTGATAATATTTGATTGGATATTTCTTCAGTAGTTACTATTTGATTGGATATTTCGTCAGTAGTTACTATTTGATTGAATATTTCGTCAGTAGCTAATATTTGATTCAATATTTCGTCAGTTGCTATCTTTGATTCAATATGTCGTCAGTAGTTAATATTTGGTTGAATATTTCGTCAATAGTTACTATTTGATTCAATATTTCGTCAGTACGTGTATATTAAAATTACATTTCTGAATGTGATCATGATGATGTAAACTATTTCTCTTTCTCCTTTTCTATGCCTTTACTTTGGCCATTTACTTTCATTGATTTCGAGATATAATGATGTCGAGTTATCAAAAATCTCGGTTACAGGCGTGGCAGGAATAGAATTACAGATTTGAAAGTGCAAATGTTTATTAATCTGATAGACAAGGTGTGAGGAATTAATTGATACTTTGTAAAAGCCCAGACTAGTAATCATTACATCAGTGAATGTTATAGTGCTAACAATATATCTCTGGAGAGATCAGCTCAATAGACTCGTTTAATTGATATTTCAGTATTAAAAATACATGAATGATTTATCTATTACTCAATATCGGCCATTGGTATTAAAATGACATGAATAACAATATAGACATTTAAATGTCGGAAATCCTTTAGATTTCGGGTTGGGAGTGATTGACAATCCCCAAATATACAGGCCTAGAATGGAACAAATACTTCATTGAAGAGGCGTTTCATATCGCTTTCATCTGTTAATTATGTACATTATTGTTCATCTGGAATAAGAGAACATTCCAACTTTCGATGGTTGAGTTGTAATGTACGGATAGACTTTAAAATGCTGTGGACAAATTGCAAAATTTCCCATCATTATATTATACGAAGAGAAATGGGTTCCTGTTAGCTCCCCTTGCAAATTATATTACTCCGACTCTGAACCTAATTTTTCTTAGAGACGCCACTCTAACTGTACCAACACTGATCGCTGCTTCATGCCTGCGCTCATTTCAAATAACGTCTGGTTTGTCCGTTATTGCAGAAAATATAAGAGTGGATATGAGAACAGTTTTAATCTAAAAATGATATTAACATTCTCTCTGTGAATAACTTTGAACTGTTATCAAGAGAACATATGTGTTGCTATTTGTCGGGAAAGCAAATGTCCAGACGAATTTATTTTTACTTTCCAAAATGAGACGTTACCCAAGTCAATGTTCTTCTATTTAGTTTTTTACACACTGGTGAATAACAATGCTGACACTTGACGTATTGTATACCTTCTCTCAAATCTTATTAACAATCCACCAGTGGCTAAACCAGATGAATGGGGCTCGTCGACTATTTAACCTTTAAGATACTTATTTTGGTACATTTTTTTTTAAATTGTATATTTTTCTGGATGTTGGGCCCCCTTATTGGTAGGAGCCCGTGGCCAATGTAATCCACCATCCAAATACATTTATCAGGTAGACCCTACAGGCGACCTTGCTAACATTCAGATATCGCTTTAAGACATTGTTTCTGAGAGAATCAATGAGTACAGAAATCTCAAGTTCAATAACAGAACAAGACGTTTAAGAAGCTTTGATGTAATTCTTATTGATTCTAGAGCTGTAATGTCTGGATCTAAGAAATGTAATTAATTAATCTTATTCATCAATCAAATTAATTGTGAACTATAAAAATAGGCCTGGAGATAATGATAACTCCCAAGACTATTCACTTTTGTCTCTTTCCAATTTTTAAACCGTTTCTTCACCAAAGAGGTAGACCGACTTATAGAAAATATATTTTAAAAACAATTTCATGTCATGTTTTTGTTACACAATCCACAATTTGAATCAATATACTTGAAACAATGTTCGAGTGTTGAGCGTGTCTATCTAGTTTTATAAGGAAAGGGCAACCAAAGACGTTTTTATCCTACGCTAATCTTATTCTATTACGTGTGAAAAATGTTTATCCTATAAGAACACGAATCAGTTTATGGTAATCAATGCATTTATTCTAGTAGGTAATCAAATCTATATAGGGTGATCGAGCAAAAGCTATTCAGGAGCGTCGTTACTCTGATAACATCATGACTCTAGTAATAGCGTCTTAAAGATGGAATATGCATAAATGGGATGACACTTATGTAATACACAATGTTGATGATCATCCATACACCCCCAAAAGGCAATAGGGGCATAAAATATTATTTATTATTTCTTTTCAACAATTACTAGGTGTAATGGATATATCGTTTTATATGGAGATTCTATTATTTAGTCGTGGCACCTGGCAAGTACCACTGATGAAAATATACTCTTATTGACCAAGTTTGAGACTTTTTATGTTCATTCTAAGAGGTAGTATTCATCTCCATCAATACTTTCTCTTTATGTCAACTATTACTTGAGTGTAACGAAGTCAAAATTATCTTCAAAATATTTCTCCGCTATAAACATAGCTGATATGGGTATCTGTTTCTATGACAACCTTTGTAAGATGTAAAAATAAATTTATTGTTATATATTTATAAACACTTACTTATGCATTGCTTGTTTTAACCACTACTTCAGAATGCCCCTTGATATTTTATTGATGTTCATCCCCAAAGACAAACCATTGTATTTTTCGGAATCAAAGATATAGTAAAATAATACGTTGATGATTGTGTTTGTTGCTAGAATTTATTGAGTTTCTATGGTAGTCAATAGAAGTAGTCAGTCGGAACTTCCTCTTTTCTACTAAGTCAAACAGTACTGACCGGATTGGGTGTTTTTATGCGAGGAATGTAATGCTAAACTAAAATGAGCAAGAAAAGGGTACGTAATGTTTGAATTTTATAGCTTCACGGCATGTGATAAATTATATTTAGCTTTCCGTTACGAATTTTGCACATGCTTACTGTTACAAATTATACTCGATCTTCTGTTACATGTTACAGATTATACTTGGTCTCCTGTTCCATGTTACGTTTGGTCTTCTGTTACAGATTACGATTGGTCGTCTGTTATAGATTATACTTGGTCTGTTGTTACATGTTACGATTGGTTTTCGGTTACAGATTACAATTGGTCGTCTGTTTATAGATTATACTTGGCCTGTTACATGTTACGATTGGACGTCTGTTATATATTATGCTCGGTCTTCTGTTACATGGTATACTTGGTCCTAATTGCATGTTATACTTGGCCTTCTAATACAGATGATGTTAGGCCTTTCGTAACAGATTAAGTAGGTCTTCTGTTACAGAGTATGTTTAAAATTATGTTAGGCCTACTGTTAGTGACATAGATTATTTTTGGCCTTATGTTACATATCATGGTAAGACATTCTATACTATAACAGACCTACCCTTACAGGTTATGTTCAGATCTGTTAGATAAATTCATACTAAGACCTTTTGTTGCAGTTCGTCCTAATGTCAATAGTCTCTCTGAGACCTAACAATTTCATGTCTAAAAACAGAATTTGAAACGTTTCGGTTTTAGAAAATTAACCTTTACAGAGACAAAGTTTTGAAAAATGAAATTTATATTATTGTTACATGCTTCGATTTACTCCATTCGAATTTTCGGCCAGAAACGTTTTAAGTGCAAAACCCCTTTGACATTATTAGTCGCGTGTTTGGCAGGTCGTGATCACGATGGTCTGCTTCATTATTGGGCTAATTAGTTATGATTGTATAAAATAGCGTGTGTCTTACCGGAATAAAGCACCAGGCGGCATTTATTAGAATTGAACACAATGCTTTCGTTATGGAGAAACAGTAATATTATAAATATTACAATGACAGCAATATTCATGATTTCGAGCATGTTGTAACGTCTGTTCCCGTGGGATCCATTAATCACCATCAATTCTTGTAGTCACTTTGATGTCATTGTTATAATATTGTGGAATAGTCTTACAGGATGTTTTCCATAAACGCAGTATGTCACAGAGTCTAGTTGTTGCGAGATCGTTTTAAATAGACGGACGTGTGCTCTGTTAATCGCACGATATCACGCCTGATAGGATAGCAGAGGTTTATGTTTTAACGTACGTCCAATAATGAGCATTCCAAAATCAAAACTGGTGAGTTATTGAAAATGGATTAAAATCATATGTAGTAAAGCTTTATTATATTTGCAACATATAAATATTTGATGTGATTAGGATTTCAGCATTAATTTTGCTGTATTATTTGAATGTTATACTAGTCTTTTCATAATCTGTTCGCTGGCTGTATCGTTATGTCTCTTATACCACTGTTGGTTAATTATCATCCTTGCATCTGCTTGTTTTCCCACCGGCAGTATTGCTTATTTTGCTTTTAAGCCAACAGACTGGTGCAGTTAGAATATTATTATGTGTATATACATTTGAATAGTTTTGTTTGAAATCCTAAAAACGTCTCTGAAAGTGTGTACATGTATATTGTTCAGCAATGCTATAAATCATGCAAAATCATTCACGACAGCCCGTTTTGATAAACCAACATATACCGAAAACTGTTTACGTAAGTAGTTTGTACCATCTGTTTATTTCTGTTGTTTCTGACAGACAATTCGTCATTCCACGAGAGAGGTTGGGTTCTTTATCGCACCATGTCTTTCTATCGAAATTAATTGTTACAATACGCTAATCTCTTTTGTCATTACTTTGGTGGCTTTGTCAAGCATTCTTAATATTCTTTTGTAATGCATTGGGGTCCTCTTTCTTGTGTAACTGATGAAGATGATCAACGTCACAGTGTTCAAGAAAACAATTTCAAAGCGATCAAATGTCTGATTATGGAGATGTCCCTTAATCAATCAACCATATATCTGTATAGTAATGTCTTCAGCAATAATGGATCTACAAGTAATAGTATTCCTTGAGGACTTTGTTTTTATCTCTTAAATACAGTAACTTAAGTAACGTTATTATCTATTCTATTTGGACTATGCTTTATGTAGTTTAGAAGGCAAAATTAAGAGCTTCTGAATGTTTTACACAAATATCTTACACTGCTAATGACTATATTTATTATTTATTAAACACAATACGTAATAAACATTCCACTGTATTATAATTCCTGTTGTTACGGTAGAGACATTACATCCCAAA